AAAAAGCTCTTAAAAGCGTTGCCTCATCTTTATGCAAAGCACTTACGTTCACGTAAGCTAATACACAATTAATATTTCAAAAATAATCTTTGGTTTAGCAATATACATATTAAATGAGGTATGAAAAACTTCAAGCCATTTTTTGTTTCAGATCATCAATAAGCGCAGAGGCGGTTCTTGATGCAGAGGAATTAAATAAAACAAACTTCGAGAACTCAACAGAATTTAGGTCGATTGCAGAATACGTGGAAATAGTAGATCCCTTTGCTGCTGAAATATCTTTCGTCAAGAGTGAATGTCCGCAGCGAAAAGTCATTAGAATTATTTGTGACCAACTTGGTAAACTATATTCTTAGAAACTCTTAGATTACGTGTAAATTATGGAAATAAACATTGAACATGACCGCTGAGGTTTTACGTTTTATAATAGATTGTGGAATACCATCAGCAAGAGGCACGAGTTCGACGAGTGGAGTTGACAGCTTACCCCGTTCGGCTCGGCCGGGAGACTGGCCTTGGCAAGCTTCGTTGTTGAGATCTAACATCCATGCTTGCGATGGCTCACTTATACACCCTTCGTGGCTTATAACTACAGCGTCATGTTTTCAGGTGATCATTTGGATTTGTAAAAATAAAAAAAAAATGAAGGCAATTAACTATAAAACACTGATTTTGTTTAAAATTGAAACAGTAACTGAACATTAGCTTAGCATTAGCAGTAGTTTTTTTGCTTGATTTTTTTTTAATTGCTATGTGATATGATGATACCTTGATACTTTGAGTTTGAATTAAGATGTTGATACCCCTGCCAATTAATTTTCATAGAACTGTCATAGATTGTGTTGCGTGCAGTACAAAAAATCTTGTAGCATTTAAGGTCTATTCTAGGCGACATCGACTATTTTATTAGTGCTTAGTGATTTTAGTATTTTTTAAATTATTATCTTTAAATGCCAAAATAAATAACATTGCATATAACACATTAAACGGTGGTGGGGCATCTTGGGAGTCCGCTAGGGTAGGTACCTCTATCCTGCTTATTTCTGCCGTAGAGCATTACTGCATTTCGAATTGAAGGGTGGGGCAGCCGTTGTACTGTAAAACCTGATATTTGAGTCGACTATTATCAAAGGCGGCAATCTGACTTTTGGACAATGATTGGTAAATCAGAAAAACGAATTATTGACTTTGTATTCCATTGGCAGTCACAAAACTCTTCGGAACGACATCTTAGATAAATAACAGGTTAACTATTAACCTTTATTTAATGCAGGTTTTGAACCGTATTCTTTGAAGGAGACGATTATATTCAAATAAATCTGTATTGACATATCAATAAAAATTTTTTGTCCAAATGTACAGATTGCCACCTTTGATAATAGACGACTCATTTAGAAGGCATATCTCAAGGTGAACGGCAGCATTTACGTTGTTATCTATGGGCCTCGGCGACCACTAAACGCTATGTGGGCCGTGAACTTGTCCACCTACTTAACCAACAAAAAAAAACGGATGCTTAATAAACCAACATTCTAGTTTGATTTGAATACTTATTTAACGACTCTAAAATATAATATTTAAATGTGATTTATACCACGACCCCAAAAAACAAACTACCTAATTTATTAAATTATCTAGATATTTTTACTAAAATCATGGTTATTTTAATGCGTCTGTAAAACCTACTTAAATAACGTTTTTTAATATCATTTTATTTTTTTACTCGTGCAGGGGCAACCAAAAGCAGAATGGACAGCCAGATTTGGCACAGTCCGAATACAAAGTACGACACCATGGCAGCAAGAACGTCGTATCGTCGGAATGGTACGATCTCCCGTTGAAGGTAGCATGCTGGTACTGGTTAGACTTGAAGAGCCCGTTGAAATGACCGATTTTGTGCGACCAATATGTCTATCGAATAAGGCCCTTTATAGTGAAGAACGAAGTGTTTGTAACACACTTGGATGGACAAGAAATAGAGACCAGCTGCAAAGAGTTCACATAGTTCCCAGTCCAATGAGCACTTGTGAAAACGTCAGTATAGCCAATCCAAACGGCATCTGCTCGGAACCTTTGTACGACCAAGATGACTGTGACGTAAGTAACAGTACAAAAACAATCTAATCTTTTAAATACGTAAGCAGCAAGTGTTCACGAACGACTTCCAACATGAAAGAATAACATAGTGTAATAAAAAATTCTAACTACCGTATGCTTATTTAATTTCCTTAAGTACTAGGGGTAGGGTGTCGTATGACAATTTAAATAGACATGGCTTTTGAAGTCGTCGTGACCTAAAGGATAAGACGTCTGGTGCATTCGTATCTAGTGATGTAACGGTGTTCGAATCCCGCAGGCGGGGGTACCAATTATTTCTAATGAAATACTTACTCAACAAATGTTCTCGATTGACTTCCACGGTGAAGGAATATCATTGTGTAATAAAAATCAAACCGGCGAAATTATAATTTGCGTAATTACTGGTGGTAGGACCTCTTGTCCGCACGGGTAGGTACCACCACCCTGCCTATTTCTGCCGTAAAGCAGTAATGCGTTTCAGTTTGAAGGGTGGGACAACCGTTGTAACTATACTGAGACCTTAGAACTTATATCTCAAAGTGGGTGGCGCATTTACGTCATAGATGGCTATGGGCTCCAGTAATCGCTTAACACCAGGTGGGCTGAGAGCTCGTCCACCCATCTAAGCAATAAAAAAATAAAAAATAAAATGTTTTGCTTCGAGTTGTCTTTCCGTTTGGAGAGTGAGTCAGTCGTCGATATAATTGATACTTCAGACTTCTAACGTTACAGAGTGACACTGACCTTAGAATGTCACATGTACCCATATAAAAAATAATAAAATCATCCAATCAAACTGAAAACGTTTATTAAATAGTGATGTAACAGAAAAAAATACTTTCAGGAAGAAGAATATGCTGGAAGTTCGATGATGTGTTTTGATGATAAAACGAAGCGTTGGTCAATAATGGGTGTCAGTGCATGGCGCATAGCTTGCGCAAAGATAGGTCTAGGGAGGCCTCGCATATACGACCCGGTCACATCACACGTTGATTGGATCCGCAGAACAGTTTCTGATTCAGCAAGATGACCGTAATTTAGAAACCTTGGGTACTGCAAAGACTGCATAAATTAATCGATGTTTCACAGCCTATTTCTAATTTAATATGTTGACAATTTTTTTAAATATAGTACGGCGCTAGATGTTGCGGTTTGTTTACAATTAACGCTTCAAAATGTTATTACATTATTACACCTATAATTTGTACTTAGCTTATTTTGATAGCCACAAGTACCTACCACATTGTGTTAATAAGAATCATAAAGCGTGTTATGTTGTCACTAGGCAGAAACAAAGGATTTCTGAGGCCTAACCCACCACAATGACAATTAGTGCTTAATCAAAAAAAAGTATGATTGTGTTGTTAATTTTTGTTTTTTAAGTTACAGAGCTTTGGAATAAGTAATTATTTTATAAATGGTCGGATTCTCTTATAATCAGTCCTTTGAAATGTTTTGTTACCAAAAAGCTGTTCAGGACAACTTCCCATGTTTTTCTACAATAGGTTTGGCAATTTATTTAATTCAAAATATTGAAGTGTATCAATGTATCACCTGTTAAATTTACAGATGAGTGAATTTCAATCAATAATCATGAATTTCATTGTGCCACTCCCAATTGATTTTGGTTTTTTATTTTATTTATAGTGTATTTTCTTCAAATTATTAAATAAGATTAGGAATAACAAACATAATGTAATTTGTAAATATGTAATTTATTTAAGTGAGGGAACCAAATTATTTAATAAACTTTCATATTTCAATGTCTCTTGGGTCTTATTGAATCTAATTTTGCTACATTTATTTTCATATTAGCACTATAATAAAATGACTACCTAAGTTTTTCTCAAAATATAACTCTTTTTAAAAAGAAAACAGTTGACAAAAGCTGCTAGTGCAGTAAGTGCCCATAGGCCATAATAAAATTTTCTTTAAAATTAGCATTAAAAGTCGTCTTTGTGTAGTGACAATTACTCATGTGCAGTTGAATTATTTTCACTCCTCTAGCCACCGAGGCCTCCACCTCAGGCGGACTACCACTTTTTTTTTTTTTTTTTTCGGGCCGGGGGCCGAACCTCCTACAAGGTCCCTGCGCCTAGGGGGCGCGTGAGTTATGTGAGACTCAACGATCTGCAGGTGTTGAGAGCAGATCACAGGCCCAAGGATTTTAGGGCCCGCCCACTAAACAACTGATTACCCTACAGTATGCAAAATAAATATGTCAATAACTGTAGCTGGCAATCATAATCTGATAGTGTTTCCAAGCTCTCTATAACAGTTTAGCTTCAGATTTAGCATGCAATGTTAGATCTTGTGAGTATTATCACCATTTTCTATTGTATTTTTACAACCAACTCAGCATTGAAGTTTATGTAATTTATATTTTCATTTATACAATAACAAATATTAAATGCTCAAAAATAATGTTCATCAGAATTAAGCCGGTTAGTAACAATCACTATACACTGTTGTCAATCATTGATACCACAAATGACAGTATTTTCATTACCCATAAGTATTAATTTTAAATTATCCAAGTATATTTACAATTGTATCTTAATTCTCTGTGCAATATGCTTGATATTATTATGTTATTATTTACCAATTTCAATTCACCAGGCAAAAAATATATGTAAATAAAAAAACAATTTTATGTACTTATTTATTATTACATTATTATTTCTTACATTTTTCACAATCCTTCAATATTTTAACACTAAACTATTGTTTCCAATCCAACATTCATTTTAAAATACCATCTTTACTTAGATCATCCTTTATTTGAACTTGAATGTTATCTGGTAAATTTTTTAGTTCTCTGTTTATATACTCATTAAGATCCTGTAATGGCTTGTAGTATAGATGAACTACTTGAGATCCTGCAAGCATTGATAGCATGGCCGCTATTGAAAAAGATATGTATTGTCCCCAAGTTACTCCAGCTGGCATTTTATGAAACTGAATATTTTTTAATTTTTTCTTCAATTAAATCTCGAGCTTGGCGTTTTTTGAATGTATTATAAAAATTCACTTCACCGACTTTCCAGTTTATCATAGAAAATTCCAAACTAGCACCAAGTAAGAAAAAAATAGGGAGAAACCTATAAATCCCAAAAGCCCTTTTTCCAGGCCATTTATTAACAAGTTTTTGAATCCAACTAATTCTCATTAGGACTATTTTTATATAACTTTCTCACTTTCTCAGGTTACAACGCTTGTAGGCATAGATTATACACTTCTTGTAGGTATTGCAAAATATTGACGTTTGACTTTAACCTATTTTTTTGGGTCATCGAATAGACAAAGGGAACATAGTTCATTCATAATCTTTTGCAAAAAAGACCCAAGTCATCAAGTTACATATAAGTGGAACATGGAAGGGAATCGCCGGTCGCAACTTCTCACATTCGTCTAAAGAGCCCGTACAGTCAATAAATTTCCAACCTTTGTAATGAGAGGCTATTAAATCTCATGAAACACCTCCGTTCATTCATTTCACTTAAATTATTTGCTTATTCAGTACCATTTCATTCTGTTCCATTCACTTTTGTTGTCATACAGCATTCGTTAAATGACGTTGGATTCCATTGCCTGTCCATTAAACGAATCAAACAAAACTTTTTGTCAAGCATATTAGTATTTGTTATTTTAGCTGTTCTACACACACTCATCACTTTTAATTACTATTCTCAGAATCCTCTCGTAGGTCTGCTGGAAGAGATTTCTTAAAGAAATAAGCAGTGCCTTTGTACATAATTTTCCTATTACTCTGTACTTTGTCTTCTTTTTTGTGTGAACATAAATAAATAAATAATAATAATAATAGTACGGTAGGTACCTAGAACACACCTAGAACTAATATATTAATATATTATGGATTATTATTATCATTTTTCTTAAAAATAAGAATATACATTAAAAGAAGACTTGACCCAAAGGTCTCAGTTACCAGGTCATAAAATGTCTTAGAAAAAAAAATCATTCATAGACCTATTACGTTTCTTACTTCATTGGTATTATTTGGTACCTATTAGCGATGTGAACCGATTACAATTTCTGGCTCCGGTTTTTTTCTCAAAAAACCGGTTTTTTTAGGTATTTTTAGGTTTTTTCCATAAAGGCTAAATAATCAGTAAATAAAACAAATTTACGTACAAACGAAGAGTTTTCTTCATACAATTAATTGGGTGAGCATATTTTATATAGGCTTTTAATGATCATAATATATATTATCCAATAATAAAAAGCTTTTTATTTTTGATTTAATACTATTGTATTAAATCATTTTGATGTAAGAGGCATAGTTGATCCACTGCGTCATTCAGAAGCCTGCTCCTTCTGGATGTTAGCACGTGCCAGCAATTTCGGTATGGTTTACTGTGGCGGCTTCAGTCTCAATATACATTCGCACTATATTCACTGCGGCCGCCGTGGCGTTGGGAATATCCCGTTTTCGCGAATGCAAAAAATCTAGAATACCAGGCTTTTTAAAATTGTTTGTGGTTTTTTCTGGCTGTTCCGATGATAAAGCGTGAGTTGAAAGTTCTTCAAGAAGATTCCCCAGTTCACGATGCACCATCTCTTTTGCAGACAACACGTGCTCTGGTTGGCAAAAGCCATTTCTGAGTGTTGGGTGCAGATATGTGGATATTTGGGTCACGGTCCTCATTTCGTACGCTAAAAGTCTACCAACCATATTGTGGTTTTACTGCACTGTGCACTGTAGTTTTTAAATGTAATGCACGGCAATTTGATTCTGAAACACAGTTTTTTTTTAATATTTGTAGCTTGTATATTTGATCTGGTAGCACTGGTGTGAACTGTGAATGTAAAGCGTAAAAAACCGGTATTCTTAAATAAAAACCGGTATTTATCGGTATGTATAAAAACCGGTTTTTCTCCGGTTTTCTTCGAACCGGTTTACATCCCTAGTACCTATCATTGTGGTAAAATTGCTCTTCAAAGTCTTCAACATATTTTAAAATTAAATAAACACCATTATGTGCACAGGTACAACATTAATGCAAGATAAATGCAAATAAATTGCAACAACCTCGGAGTGGTAACAACTTGTTACACTTAAGTAGTATGTAAAGAAAAGAAAAAAAGAGTATCAATGTATTTGAGTGTATCAATAAATAAATTAAGGATCTGGAGCTGATATGCAAATTGTGGAAAGGAAGAAAGATAATTTAAATTTGTATGATCTGTGTCCTATCAAATTAACCGAAGGAAGAAAACTCAAACTTCTCTCTGAAGGCTGGGGATTATTAACGGACTACACCCTTGAATCTGTTAAAGTCAATCATTACAAAAAAAATGTTTTGTCATCAGTTGCTACTTTAAGGGTTGTAGATAGATCAGGACAAATTACTTGTATAATTCGCGGTCCTTCTGTTGGCCTTTTATTTGGATTATCTGAAATTGAATGGAAAGAAATTGAAAACTTGTGTGAATACAAAAAACAATTGTTTTACAGGTATTTTAAAAATGGTGTTAGTAGACAGTTATGTTATGAACAGAAATTATTTTACAGTTTTTGTGCCACTAACCAAAGAAATGATGTTATTTTTGCAAGATTTCGTAGATGTCCCAATTTAAAAAATAACAATAAAAATGAAGCATTTCTTGAAATAATGCAATTTGAAAAATGTAATCATACATTATTTGACTTGTACATAAGTGAAATACGACAGCAGTCATACATTAATCAATAAAATTCATCTTATATACTTTAACGCTAAATCAATAAAAATGATGATAAATAACCATATAATCTTTTCTTGAGTTCTATTGTTAAAATGTTGTTGTTATTTTATTTTACATTTCTAGGCTGGCTTCACACAACACTCCTTTTATTGTCTTGCCTTATTTCTTACTATATAATGATAAATTTTTAAATGTATGTTACAATAAAAAATAATTGCTAAAAATCTGCAATCCTTAAAAATTTTTTAGTTATTTGCAAATTGTTTAATTTGTTTAAATAATTACATATCATGAAAATAAACTCTAAACATTATTTTCCAACAACTCCGCAACACGAAAATTATGCTTAGAAATATCACCTATGTATAGGGTGTCTTGTGAGTCCACATGGGTTGTTACCACCACCCACTACGTCTGCCTTTGTGCAGTAGTAATACATTCTGGTTTAAAAGTCGGGGAAATTGTACTAAAGAACTGAGACTTTAGTTTAGACTAGACTGAACTTTAGTTTTTTTTAAATTATTTATTGCTTAGATGGGTGGACGAGCTCCCAGACCACCTGGTGTTAAGTGATTACTGGAGCCCATAGACAACCACAACGTAAATGCGCCACCCATCTTGAGATAAAAGTTCTAAGGTCTCAGTATAGTAACAACGGCTGCCCCACCCTTCAAAACGAAACGCATTAGTGCTTTACGGCAGAAATAGGCATAGCCCAAGAGCCCGCGACAGCCAGACCTTCGTTATTTTATAAAAGCTGAAAGTTTCTCTGTGTATGTCTCCAACACAGGTAAGAACGACCCGCGTTAATAGAGTTCCGATTGTGGTTACTTGGGCAGGTAACAGGCAGTAAAGGTATATAAAATAGTACCTTAAATTCGTTAAAGTATAAAGGTTTTTTTTTTTAATATTTATTCCAGAATATCTTTAGAAATCATGATATCCGTTGCCGGACACTTTTTCCAGTTGTTACCCCCTGCCAGACACCCTTAAACTTTAATAAATTTTAAGTATACTTTCGTTATACTATAAAAGCTAAATTTTATATATGTTACTTAGGGACTTATAAAAATATGTTACCCCAAGAGCCGGACAGTTTTAATGGTTCTTACATCTTGCCAGACACATTGAGAGCCCGCTGTAGGTGCGAGCGCGAGGTAGCAACTGTTCAAGCGGGTGTGAGCGAGATAGAGTGCTTAGTTATTGTGACCTTTTACTGCACATCAGCTGTCGTTTATAGGATTTATCCGTTCTAAGCAGTGATATCGAGGCACTACTCGGCATGGGAAGCTCTGTCATTCTGGCGGGCGACCTAAATTGTAAACACATCAGGTGGAACTCACACACCACAACCCCTAATGGCAGGCGGCTCGACGCGTTAGTCGATGATCTCGCCTTCGATATCATCGCTCCGCTAACCCCGACTCACTACCCGCTAAATATCGCGCATCGCCCGGATATACTCGATATAGCGTTATTAAAAAACGTAACTCTGCGCTTACACTCGATCTAAGTAGTTTTAGAGTTAGATTCAGACCACCGCCCCGTCATTATGAAGCTCGGTCGCGCTCCCGATTCCGTTCCCGTCACGAGGACTGTGGTGGATTGGCACACGCTGGGCATTAGCCTGGCTGAATCTGATCCACCATCGCTCCCGTTTAGCCCGGACTCTACCCCGTCTCCTCAGGATACCGCTCAAGCCATAGACATCGTAACGTCACACATCACCTCGACATTAGATAGGTCATCGAAGCAAGTTGTGGCGGAGGACTTCCTTCACCGCTTCAAATTGCCCGACGATATTAGGGAACTCCTTAGAGCTAAGAACGCTTCGATCCGTGCCTACGATAGGTATCCTACAGTAAAATCGTACTCGAATGCGTGCCCTACAACGCGACGTAAAGTCTCGCATCGCCGAAGTCCGAGATGCCAGATGGTCTGATTTCTTAGAAGGACTCGCGCCCTCTCAAAGGTCTTACTACCGCTTAGCACGTACTCTCAAATCGGATACGGTAGTAGCTATGCCCCCCCTCGTAGGCCCCTCAGGCCGACTCGATAGTTCAATATCGACGNCCGAGAGGGCCCCGAGGGATCGGTCAACGAGGGAAGGGCACCTTCCCTCGGTTCGATCCTCGGAGGACCCCCGGCCGAGGCCGAAGGCCCGGGCCGATTGTCAGTTTCGAACCCCATCGGGACTGTACGAATAATTGGTTCAGGTCTATGGGTCCGTAATTCGGCCATCGCCTGACGTCCCTTACGAGACGGGCCGGGAGTGCTGATTATGGGGGGTGAATGATCCCCAGACATGATGTGGTAATCCTAAAGATCACGCGGACATTGGTGCCCTCACTAGGTAGGTTATATATACACTATGGGCGACCAGTCAGCCGACCCTTCGTTTCAAGAATAAACATGTAGTGTAGGTCAGTTTGACTGTGAAGGGGAGACTAGTGACGCTTGTCAGTAGCAGTCCCAAGTATAACTATAATTGATTTAAATAGTAGA